CCTCTTTCCTCCTCCTTTCTGCTTGCCACTACTGCCATTGTTTCGGTTCTCCTCCACCACTCCTTATACCAATGATGCTCTGTTGACCCCTTTCTCTACCTTTAAGGTGTTGATCAGGCTTTCAGTGCTGATGGGAACCTTTTTTTTTACAAACATACATCAACTTCCCACAAAAACCAAACCCTCACAGAAATCTTTCTCTTCATGCAGAACCCCATGAAAAGCTGTTACCACAGTAACCACCTGAAACTCTCCACCCCTCCCATCTCTGGTTTAGTGAAACAAGTGTGTTCAGTCTTTTTTCCTCCACTTCTCCTCTGCCTCTTCCTTTTTGATCTTTTCTTTGCCCCTATTGATGTAGTATTTCAGGTCATGCAGGCCCAGCTTCAGGCACTCTCTTTTAGCCAACCCCTTAAACACCCAAAGGTTTGTTACTTTCCATAAACTAGTTTTAACACATGCTAAAAAAGTCCTTAATAATGTTTCTTCTGTTCCTTATGATATGAGTCTATATAGTACCATCTTCCATGCTAATGACAGGTAGGGGTGTGTGAAGCAGGCCCTATTTGATTCGGATTTGGATTCAGCCCGAATCAGGGAGAGTGATTCGATTAGTTGATTTGGATCACTGTCCCTGATTCAACTTGGCTGAATCCGAATCTGAAGATTCGATGCTGATTCAGAGAATCAGCGATTTGGACATAGACACAGCTTTAAATGTTTTTTCTACATACCTCGAGGTACCAGTGTGGCTTCTGAACGCTGTGATGCTGGGGTGGATGGAGCGTCCTACAGGAGTGCTGGGGGGGGAGCCCTCCACGTGTTCAGCAGTGAACCCGGAAGTGGACTGAAAGTACTTCTGGTCCACTTCTGGGTCTGCTGGGGAGCGTACCTGGGGTCCCCCCTGCACCCCTCTGGCTCGGCGATCAGCCCCCCCGCGTGCTCCCCGGTGGACCCGTCAGTGGATCGGAAGTGCTTCTGGTCCACTTCCAGGTCTGCTGCCAAGCGCCCTGGGGAGCCCTCTGTGCTCCTGTGGGATGCTCCATCTGCCCCAGCATTGCAGCATTCATGAGCTGCCTGGTACCTAGAGGTATGTAGAAAAAACATTTAAAGATGTGTCTGTGACCAAATTGCTGAATCTTTCTGAATCGCTTTGAATCAATTTGGAGGATTCTGATTCAATTTGGAGAGATTAAAGGGTCCTCTGATTTGATTCAGATTCGGAGATTCAGCCACAGAATTGAGTTGAACCTTTGCTGACTCGAATCAGGGACCGAAGCTTCACATAGCCCTGATGACTGGTTTATTTTGGTGACACTCAAAAAGTGGCAGACCCTTTGCCACGCCCACTTTGCATATGTACACTCCCAAAACACATCCCACTGTTTCTTCTTCCCCACATCTCTCCCTTGTCAAACCCTATCTGTGTTACCCTTCTCTCACTGGCAAGATATTTCTTACAACCATTCACACTAGGTCACCATGTTCACCTTTTAGTTGTTTACCCACCACCAGTAGGTAAAAAAACTAGGTGACTGTGGCATCGATGCGTACATGGTCAGATGGATTGCGAATTGGCTGAAGGGTAGTACTCAGAAGGTGGTGGTGAATGGGTCATATTGGACCTGGGGGGAAGTGGGCAGCGGAGTCCCCCAGGGCTCGTTCCTTGGGCCCACACTGTTCAATTTCTTTATCAGCTATTTGGACGATGGGGTGAAAAGCAACCTGTTCTAATTTGCTGATGATACCAAAATTTGGGGTGAGGTGGGCACGTTAGCAGGGAGGGAAAAACTGCAGAGAGACCTGGATAGGTTGCAGGGATGGGCTAACAAAAACAGGATGCGTTTCAATACTGACAAATGCAGGGTGCTACACTTGGGCAGTAGTAACCAGCAGCACACTTATAAGATGGGAAACTCCCTTTTTGAGAGCATGGAGGCAGAAAGGGATCTCGGAGTCATTATTGACTCCAAGATGAACGTGGGCCGACAATGCAAGGTCACGGTCGGCAGGGCTAACCGGACCTTATCGTGCATCCACAGGTGCATCTCAAGTAGGTCCAAGGAAGTGATCCTCCCCCTCTACGTGACACTGGTCAGGCCTCAGCTGGAGTACTGTGTCCAGTTCTGGGCACCTCACTTCAAGAGGGATGTGGACAACATGGAGAGGGTCCAGAGGAGGGCCACCCGCATGATCCGAGGACAGCAGGACAGACCCTACAATGAGAGGCTATGGGACCTGAACCTGTTCAGCCTTCACAAGAGAAGGCTGAGGGGGGACCTGGTGACCATCTATAAACTCACTAGGGAAGACCAGAAGGGTTTGGGGGAGACCTTGTTTCCACTAGCACCCCCGGGGATAACAAGGAATAATGGCCACAAGTTGTTGGAGAGTAGGTTTAGATTAGACATCCGTAGGAACTACTTCACAGTCAGGGTGGCTAGGATCTGGAACCAACTTCCAAGGGAAGTGGTGCTGGCTCCTACCCTGGGGGTCTTTAAGAAGCAGCTTGATGCCTACCTGGCTGGGGTCATTTGAGCCCAGTTTTCTTCCTGCCCAGGCAGGGGGTTAGACCTGAAGATCTACAAGGTCCCTTCCGACCCTACTTCTATGATTCTATGATTCTCTGACTCCCCACACCTTCTTCACTTGTCCTTCTGTGAAGTTTCCCATTGGTGCCATCCTGTCTCTCTTACTGTTCTCGTCAATTTCTTATGATCCTTCGGGACCTCCAGCCCTACCTTCCCTATTTTATACCTCTACATGAATCCTTCAGTCTTGATGTAATGAATTGGAAATTGGTAGTGGAGGATGCAGAGGACGTGGCCAAAGCCACCTGGCACAAAGACATGTGGCACAGGATCTTCCAACTTCACCCTAGTGGGGAAGGGGGCAGCAACAGCGAGGAAGAGAAAGAGACAAATGGAACTGAGGACAGCAACAGCAGCAACGGGAGCTGGAGTGAAGGTGACATGGACGACAGGTGAACTGAGTATGTGACCCTACAAGTGGGGTGAGAATAAAAGGAAGGGGTTGCCTGGTCTGAGAGATCAGAGTTTATTTGTGTGTATAACACATGAAGCGGATATTGTAATGGGTCCAGTTTGCCAGTGGGCCTTTGTATGAGTGTGTGGGCTGCATGGATGTCATTTTTGTAACGGGTTAAGGACTTCTTTGTGGGGTGATACTCAGGGTGTAGATGGATATAACCCCATATATATAGAGAGAGAGACATATATTTTTACAAAAAAAAGTATAGCTTGCGCTATATGTAAGTAGGTAAAAAGTGCTGCTTAAAAATGTGTTTATGAAGTACCTGTACTAAAACTTGTAGCAGCTTCAAAAAATTCTGGATGAACTAAGTCTTATGGGTACCCCTAGCATTTCCCTATGTGCAAATTGCTACAGGTATGTTTATTTTGAGGCCAGAGGTTTCAAATTTGTCTCTTACTTCCATATGCTCAGGAAGTGCAAGGTTTGACAGTAAAGGAACAGGGAAAGGGGCTGCAGGAGGAAGAAGTTGGGTGGGGCAGAGGGCAAGAGGTGACACGCCCCCCCACCCCAATTTATTTTCCCTGGTGTAGCAGTAGGAGGGGGAAAAATTCAAGGCAAACCTCCAATAGTTTGATCCTTTACCTGGAAAATTATAACAAATTTATGTTTCCCATATGTGTGTGTATGTGTGTGTGTGTGTGTGTGTGTGTGTGTATAAAAATCTAATTATTGGGGGGTTGTCTTTTATTTTGAGTAACTATGCTAGTAAGAGGAGGCTAGGGACCTCCTCTTATTACCACTGTAAAGACCTTTAGGCCCTATTTTCTACAGACATTGGCTCTAACTCAGACACCTAAATTAATAAACCTGAACTTCTGAACTCTCAGAGTCCACAACTTCAATTTTACATGAGTATTGAGTGTTGAACACACCTTCCTTTTAAAGGCATAATCAATATTTATTTAAGTCAGCGGGAGTCCAATGACTTGATCAGTGGAGTACCGAGTGTCCCTGGTGCCTGGGGACCAACGCCTCCATTTGTGTCCCCCTGGGACAGTTGGAGCAGGGTGTAGGGCTGAGGCAAATCAGCCTATGTGGTACCCCACCTTCCACCCCACAGCAGGTCCATGGAGGAATTACAAGCGCGGCCACACTGGCCACAGGGGAAGGGGCGCTGGCTGGAATTTCCGGCCAGAATGGCCGAACAAGCCCACAATCCACCGAGCAGGCAGGTGGACCACATAGCAAACACGGAAGGCTCTCTGGCTGGCGCCCCCCCAGGCCAGTGCCCAGGAGCCATAGCCCCCTACTCCCGCCTCCCATCGATACGCCACTGAACTTAATATAAATAAAGCTTCAAGTGGCAGGATTTTCAAAAGAATACAAAGAATATCCAGTGGCTCTGATAAACAACTGGAGCTCCTGGATTTTGAAGGAATTTCAAAAAAAATCAGGCAAGTTCAGCTCTTAAAGTCAGAGGATCTCAGGACATGCTGTACTGGATCCATCCTGTGTATCCATTCAATGTCTGTTGATGCCTTCAGTTGCCTTTTAAATGTCTTTATCTGCTTTAAATTAATATTGTCTTTATCTAGACTTTGTTCATGAATTAAAAAAAGTGAATATTTTTGGGTCTTATTTTATTTGCTAATAACATTTTTATTAAGAATCTCTTTACTTATTTTTCTTTGATTGAGAGCACCCAAATTAAGCTGTATGCATTTGATGAAAAAATTACTACATATCCAAATTCAGACCCACCTGCTATGAAAAATAAATTTTCCAATTAAGTCAAGAAAGACTGAGAAGGAAAAAAAAAGATAAGTCCTTTTTGATTTCTTAGCAAAATGACAGATAAAGGAATAAGAATAATTTTAAATTTTGAAGGGAGTAAAATGACAACAGCAAGACATGGTCACTTTCATATTACAGAGGAATAATTGAGAAATGCTCAATATCTCTCATGCAAGTTAGACTGATTATTTTAAGAGCTAGAATATGCATATTTAGTATCCATTTCTCTTATAAAACTTGGCTCGTGCAACTACATCATTGGCATAATCATTGTGGGTGGTGCCAATATCCATTCTAGCATAGGTCTGGACATTTCGAGGTCCTGCATTGTAGGCAGAAATCCCACCTGAAACAAAACACAAAAATCATTAATCCAGACTTAAAACCCAACACGTATTGTCTCATTCTCACCAAAGAATATTAGAAATAGCTGAATTCATTTTGTACTAGTCTGAGGAACTATGGACAATTTGCATGAATTCCTGAATGCATCCAAAACTTGGGAGGATTTGAAGCTTTTATATCGGGGCAGGCAATTATTTCAGCCTGTAGGCCATATAGGCAGTTCTGGGGAGCTGCTGCAGGCCGGTC